TGTATAAATCATATTGGAAATGTGCATGATTTGGAGTGCATGACCCATTGCAAACAGATTAAAATACAAATTCCTTATCACAGCCTGCATGGTCCTACATCCCATATCCTAATACAGTCACACAGGACTCTCTCCTTGCTCACTGGTCTCCAGACCCTAGGAATGATGGAGGTGCAGCACTTAAACAGATTTTGTTTACTTGCACTAGTATTCCTAGTAAACTCTATTTTGGTGCCCTACTCACCACCCATATTGAGCTGGTGCACTCATCTCCCTGTTGCTGGGAGACCTGGCTGCTGATAACTCCCAGCTGCATCCTTCTGCAAATTGTCCTCAGCTGATGGTAGTTACCTTCCCTGGGAGTTATGTTCCCCTCTCCCAGAGTGGCTCATACAGCGACTAGGCGGGAGCTACGAAAGACGGGCTCCCTTACGTACATTCATTGGAAGACAAAAGGTGGTGTTATTTTAATTTATAATGTTTCACTTATGTTTTAACACTTATTTAGTGATTGTTTGCCTTTGCATCTGAATATTGTATGAAGTACTTATTATTTTCACTATACATAAATTGATACTTTAATTGTATGGTCAGTACCCACCCTTTATAGCTCTAGTCATGTGAATCAGAATGTTTTCTTGGAGTCTTCCCTAGTTTGGGGGATTTTTATTTTTACTTAAAGAACAGAATTTCATTATTATTTCAGAGAGCAACTTTGGCAATTTGAGAATGTTTAACACTAGGTGGCAGGATGAGACTGCAGATACCCAGCTCCTCAATGCTAAGTATAAAAAAAATCTGATAACTTTCTTAAGGTATTAAGAATTCATAGGCAAATGCATTGTATTATTCTTTAATATATGTGTTTTATATATAGTTCTACATTCCTTTACATTGAAAAATTTTCACTCCATGTAATAGAGTGATGTTAATAAACATGAATGAATTATTGAAGAGTAAATATACATTGCTAATAATTTTACAAGCTATGTGAGTATGAAAATAGCTGAATAAAATAGCCTGCACTGGAAAAATGTTCATACTGTTAGGCGTCTTTAGAACTTTAATGATGACATTTTTAAGCAAAATATAAGATGCAGTCTCTTAATCATATAATCAAACATACTTAGGTTGACATGCATAAACACAAAGTTAAATAAACCATTTATTTTCACGATGAAGATTGATATTCAGCAAATAAGAAGCATTTCAGAGTAAATTCACAATAAATGCATATCCAAAGATGAAAACGGCATCTTTTTCGATGATTATCCTAGAAATAAGAACTGTTTTAAACTCTTTCCAAATTTGTATTTATAGTAAATATTTTAAAAACAACATTATGATTTCCCTGCAGATGGTAAATTATGTGTATAGTTGGAGTGAAATCAGCCCTTTGGTTTTAATAATGGAAAATGGCATATTCACTATCAATGGCTCAGCCATCAGATCTGGGTCCTTTCACTAAATGCAGTTCATTTAGTAACAAAGTAACTTAAAAAATGTAAGTAATTGCTAGGTAAAATAATAAAAGTTCAGGTCGACTTATTTCCATACTAGAATTTTTGATGTAAAGATTATAAAAATTATGTTTTCCTCAAATTATTGGTGCATTTTTAGTAAAGCATGGTATGTATAATTTTGTTGACTGCATAAATTATCTCTAAATGTACGTAATGACTTTCAGACATTTGAGAACACAGAATTATTAACTCACAACATAATACATGAAAAACTTCACAGAAATCATTTTTAATGTTCTTTCTTGCACTCTCACCAGGGACAGTCTGTCCATAATGTTTCATGTGAAAGTGCTCTGTTTTGATTTGTCTGTATTTGAGGCAGAACTATGCTCCAAAGCAGTAGCCACAAATTCAAAATAAGTGGTCAGTTAAGCCCCAAACCACATTTTTTAGTCCAATTTGACTTAGCCAAATAATATAAACAGTAATCCAGTGATTTTAAGTTAGCCTTCTCCTGAGTGTTAGTCAAAGTGTATTTCACTTGGTAACTAGTACTCATTATTCGAGAACTAAGGCTTCGTGAGACTTGCATGGGGCCACAATGTAGGCATGGTCCTGCGTGTAGGAATCTGAAATGGACAAGGATGACTAATTATTATTACATATGTCATTCTTCATTGTACATCATTCCACGGTTCTATTTAAAAAAAAACAACCTTGCTCTGCAGATTACATCAAGACTCTGTGTTGGCAGAATTAGCTGCTAATTGCAGAGAATCTGACACTTGATTCCTCATATGCTAGTCAATCTGTGCTGTAAGCAACTAGATACATCTTATTTTTTAACTCCCCAACACAACTAGTACAGTATCTAGCTCAAAACACAGGCTTGATCACTACTTATTAAATGATTACAAGTAACTTCAATCTGTTCTGGAAAAAATAGCATTTTAAAAACATATAAAATACATCAGGCTAAATTAATGTGTTGATTAATGCCACACTGGCTAGGAATCATTGATTGCTGAAATAGTTTCATTTTGTTCCACTGCATTTTCCCAAATATTTATTGTCACGTTTCAGTGTGTATTTGAAAAGTCTGCATTATGTATCTTTTCACTGGTCCTTTCATACTCAGAGTAACTCCCTAAGAAAGTCCTCATGTCATTGATTTCACCTGGAGTTTATAAAATGAGAACTTTGAAGGATCTGATTAGTGGGATGCAGTTTGGCTGGTATTGCTAAATAAGGCTTTCAGATGACGCTAATAAAAATTATCCAAGAATCTTCATGGAGTATAACCATGTGCCTGACTAATAATTTAAATATAAATACTATAACCTCTATTGGCCTTCCCACCAAGTATAGCACTTGGTGTATAGCAGAAGAGAAAAAGGTTAGTTTAGGATGTGAGTTCAAAGCAGAGATTTTTCATTCACTGAAGGCTTTACTAGTGTTGGGAAAGTGAAATCAATGAGTCTTTGGGAAAATAATGGTTTTGTTTTGGTTTTTTGCAAACTTATGAGGAAAAGTTTTAGTTTTTCATAACTTAAATTCAAAAACTACATATTGATCTCTTTCCAGGGGTCAGATGTTCTATACCAAACATGAGAGAAAGAGAGAGGACACGGACAGTAATCATTCAGGTACATACTAAAATCTAGTACTTGATTCCGCTCTGAATTTTAAGAAGGGAACACCAAGCCCTAAAAAGTTTTGTCAAAGTCACAGTGGAAAGTACCAGGACTGGAAAGTTTCTTGGTCTGACCCCAGCACTTTGTACTTCTTAGTGGTTCCCTAAGCAATGTATTCACTTCACGGCAGAATTCAGCAACGCTTTCACCTGGCAACATCCACGTTGTTTTTCTGATTAAATAGCCGCTGTTAGTGGAGCCAGTTATAATCTGCAACCTTGACTTTTCTTCTCAGGGGCTGAAGGAAATAGTTCAAAATGAAGTACATCCATCTCAGCAGCCTCCCAGAGCAAAGCAAAACCAAGCTCTAACTGGACATGACAATATTCTATAACCTTGCAATTTAACTACTCTGGTTATTTTCTATCATCCCAGTAACCAAATAGATGTAAGTTTCTTACAAGCTTTATGACTATAATTGATAGAGATTAATATGTATCCTATTTTTATATGTATTTATTTTTATTGACCTTGATCCTATTGATCTTAAAATCAACAATTGTGTAGTAAGTTTCTTCCTTGGGTCCAGGTAATAAAAATTTTAGCAGGAGCATACTGCTTAAAAAACATGAATTCTCTATAATTTATGTTGCCTTGTCCTCCTTTGTTAGTCTGCAAGGAGTGTGAGCATATCATCTTGTTCTGGAATTACAGTATCTCACCAATATCTCAGTATCTCTGTTCTCAAATTTACTAAGAATTGAGTAATCATCACACTGTCTTATCTATTTCTAAATGTTACATAAGTTGCTGATTCAAAGCGTTTGAGATATATGGGATTTCAGATATTGTTTGATTCATCTTTTCTGGTTTACAGGTGAGAAAATTGCTGCCCAGATAAATTAATTGACTTTCAGTGCTGTTTAGGTTTCAGAAATTATATTATTGTTGTACCTCACACATTTACTATATTACAAAAAGACAAGTGCACTTCAAATTTAAAACTTTCTTCCCTGATAGTTTCCAATGATTTATTAAACACATTTAGAATAAAATTATGTTTTGAGGCAAAACTTTTTCTAAAGCATTAAAGTAAGTTACATATTTTACATTGTTTCATAATTTATGTTTATAAACTATCTGCATCTTTGTTAAGGCTATCTTGAGGTACAAATGTAGTGGTATAAATTACATTGCATTTCATGGGTGATAATATAATTAAGTCAGATATTTTAAAATATGTGCAATTGTTTTTAATTTATGAATATGTTCTCAAAAGTTGTTTTCTCTGAAATATATACGATGTAATGAAAAATAATTCTCTATGTATATGTATATACAAACAACATACACACAAATGTTTTTGTTTATGACACACACATACTTATGTCATGAATAAAGTAAAAAAAGTTTTACAATCTACAGGATAAAATTTTATCGTTTAATTGTAGAAAACTGACCAGGGAATAGCTCTGATTATCAGAGCTCCAAATTAATGAATTAGATCACAGAATTAATTATGATGAGAAAATAGTTAATATTTTTCTGTGTTTGTTTATGAAGAGAGACATGTTAAATAGAAAATATCGTTGATCCTTTGTAAAATAAAATTCAACACAAACACACAGACACACACATACTCCCTAACTCCTTTAGTTCTTTGAGCAGAGTACTATATTCAGATTTCCTTCAAATCACAGGCAGCTCTGTCTGGCAAGTTCTAACAGAACTCAGTCAAGGTGAAATCCAGCCAGCTTTTGCTGCTAACAGTGTATTCATACAGCATATGATCTCTGTCTGTTCAGGCTGCTTCTTGCTCTTGTCTCAAAATAAGAAAGGAGTGCTGCTTTCCTGCGGTATGCCATTTGAGAAAGAAAGTAACCTAACACTAACTGCAGGCGGGGTCAGAGTGATGTAACAGGAAGCTCTGATGTTTCCCTTCTGCTGCTGAGCACATACAATGTGACAACCCTTCCAATATACTGAGAACAACCTTCTCTCTCCAGCAGAGTGTCACCTCCTGCTTTAGGATCATCAGGCTCTGCTAACTGGATCTCACCCTGCCTGCAGGATCACACTGCAAGGCTCTCACTCTTCCCCACCTTGCCCGGGGATAAATTTCTTCTGCGGAATCTCAGAAAATCAAATTCTATTCAAAGAAAATTTCACCAAGAATTTCCTTAGGAGCTGTGCTGGGTAAGTGCATTATTCAGAATACATATATTTGTTCTGAATCGTATTCTCATGTAGTTTGACAGTGTTTCTGCTATAGAATTTAGTTAGTGATAGTGAAATAGTGTTGAAACAGTTCTCGTCTATTTCACATATTAGAGAAACTACAGTGTATCACCTCAAGATGTACACAAAATCTACTACTACTGGATGATATTATGGACGGTGATATTCTAGAAAATTAGCAAGTAACAAAACATCTAAATGGATTAAAAGGTTTACTTCTGAAAAGTATCTTAATCAGGGAACAATGCTTTTTAAAACTAGCTCTACTATTAGCTAAGCCTGAATTTTGACAGCTGGAAAACATTTTTCCCCTAGGAAGAGTCTTTAAAGTTTCCATATAATCAGTACTCTACAAAGGGGGTGAAAGAATAACTACTTATGAGGGTCTCGGAGTCTCACTCTGTAGTTAACGCAATGGAGAAAAGTAATCACTTTGGATTTATTGTGTTGTCTTCTATTTGCCTTTCACTTCTATTTACACATATATCTAACAATTGAACTAATTGGAATTTTCATTGTTCGCTGTTGCCAGATGTGTTTAAATCTCTTTTACTAACCCTGCCTGAACTGTTTCTGCTGTATTGGATCAGGGGGTGAGCAACAAAGGAAAAAAACAACTAGGGTTGAGAAAATGTTGAGAGTTCTATATTAACTCTAATTTTAAAACTGTGTAGCTAATAGAATGTGACTTCCACTTGTCTGGTATCCCTCTGCAAGCTTTTTCCAGGACGGTGTGACACTGAGATAATCGTAGATAAAAGTAACAAAGGTTTCCCAAATGAATATACCAGAATATTAAAAAGAGAAATTAAAGTATGTATTTAAAAAATGTACTGAAATGTAGAGATGAAACGTCTGTTAATGCTTCTATCAATAGTACAGACTGTCCTGGACAATTTAAGGAACTAGTGTCTACTTAGTAAGTTGTTAACATAGATACATGACAAATTTGTTGCTAAAGAAATTAGGTGTCAGATTTAGGTTCAAATTATATTGATTGACATAATTTTAATATATTTTCTTACCTAAATTAAATTATATTGTGTAAAATGTCCTTCAACAGAGCAATCCTATACTTAAGTTACCCATAATCTGACACATTAATGGTGGACTACAAACTCATTCTGAGTAATTCTTTCATACTTTTCTACTCAATTTTTCCACAAATTTCTCCAGATGGAAACTTCAATTAAGTCTTATTTTTGTGATTCTTTAAAAATAGGGTGGCTGATTTCCTATCTCCTGTCATTCATTAATTAGACTGAGTTCCCTGACACATTTGTGGAAATGGATAGTGTTTTTAGAATGTGACTTTGTAGATAGCCATTAGATAATTAAGGGAGGAAATGGAAAGAACACATTAAATGCCTAACTGAATGCTATGGGTCAGTAACAAAAGTTAAAATAGCATTATTTTAAATTTAGATTATCTTCTTGGAAAGAGGTACTATATTCAGTTAATATCGTATTTTATAGAAAGGAGCTCCCCCAAATTCTCTAATCTTT